GGGTTACTGAGCATCTCCTAGAATCATAGAATAACAGGGAGACATTGCCTCTTGTCCTGTCCCTCCATCCCTTGTCCCAGGACCCTCTCCAGCTCTCCTGGAGCCCCTCTAGGTCCTGGAAGGGGCTCTGAGATGTCTCTGGGGCCTTCTCCTCTCCAGGTGAGCACCCCCAGCTCTCCCAGCCTGGCTCCAGAGCAGAGGGGCTCTGGCCCTGGAGCATCTCCGTGTTCTCCTCTGCACTGGCTCCAGAAGATTCAAGTCCTTTTCCTCAGAGCTGCTCCCCATCCATCCTCTTCCCAGCCTGTATTTGGGATAATCCTGACCCCTGTGCAGGGATATCCACATCCCCAACTCTGCTGCTCACAAAACCTCAGCCATGTTAGAGACTGAAGTGCTGAGAGACTGCTGAAGTCTACAAGACTCTGAAATCAAAGGCTGCAACATTAATATTCTGTGCAAATGTGAAGAAGCCATGAAAGCTTTGTTTGTTGCTAAAGAAACCAACTAAATCAAACAAGTTGAAGAAAACAAAGACTTGTATAATTGTTTTAATTAAAATTGCCACTTATTCCAGAAAAAAAAATGCAGCACAGTCGTGCTCTCAAAACATTTCTTGCTTAGACTTGCATGCTCAAAATCTGTATATAATAAGTGAAATAAAACACTGCCAGCTATTTTCCAGTCCTGTTTGACTCAAAAGCTCCAAAACAAATTGCAATAAACCCATGCAAAACTTTGTGATGTTTACTTCAGATTTTATCCCAGAGGAATTTATGGAACTCGCCATTCAACTGCGAAAGCATGTTATCTCAAATGAAATGCAATGCTCCTTAAATCTTCAAAGAGCATCATGGCAGTTAGCCATAAAATTCACTGTGACTTTAGACATTCAAAAACAGCATTAATGCCACGATCTGGCTGCCCTGTGTGGTTATTTTAAGTCTCCATGGGCACAAACACTCTTTTGGGTCCAGGCCCTCCATACATTCAGCCTCTGGTAAAAGCCATGAGACTGCTTTGCCTTTCACAAGCTGCTTATCCCCTTCACCTTCCCACTCCACAAGGTTATTTTGGCATCTCAAAATAAATCAGATACAGAAGGAATCCTGATCGTTTCTTAGCTCCTGGAACCAAGCCTCTGTTTTTTAATGCAAAATATGAGAGATATAAATACATCTTAATTTTAATTGAAGGAGAATGTCAGACCTTTCTACAAAATAGTGTCACTTGAGGTTTCTGTATTTCTTGTGACCTTTACAATGTTCATTAGGCTTTTAAGCATGCAAGTTCAGCTTAAATTTGAAATATTTTGCCTTCCTCAAGTACAGACTGCCGAATTTGGTGCCATGCTGGTGTATGAACCCAGCATGTTATCACTGTGTGGCAAAAAGGCAGCTATAAAATCTGAACCTTCCTTCCCCTCTCAAATAATCTCTTCAAACACTGCAGTTTGGCTTGAGCCTGCCTTTTATCTCCTTTTCTCAGAACATTGGGAGCTCTTTATCTCCACCAATACTTGCATTTGTGTACAGGAGTGTTGGGAACCATTTTTTGTATATATTCATTCATTATGTCATTTCAAAGATCTTATTTTTTTCCCTGCTTCCTAAGCATTAGCATTTTTAAACTTAGAGAAGCAGGGTGACTATTAGAAACATTCTACAGGAAACCATAATTTATCATCAAAATACTTTCAAATTTCTTCTAAACATGTTACATTAAGCATTCTGGAGACTGCAAAGAAGATTATAGTAACGGCTCTTTCTTTGTCTTTTCTTACTTTCTTTTTTTTTCATGGTGGCTGGATGACTGAAATAATTTCAAGTCCTTTTTTTTTGCTAGAACCTGATCACCACCTGTTTGAGTGAAGAAACTGAGGGATGTTTGAAAGCAATGCCTTTGGCAACACATACACCTTGCTCAGTCTCTCTCACATCTTCAGTTTATCATATAAAAGGCTTTTCCAAGCGTTGCCTGAGAACAGTAAAGACCTCATTAGGAGCTGAAAACTGTTGGGGATTTCACTGTTGATAATGAAAATCTTATTTATGGAATTGCTGAATACACACATAAAGTCTAAAAAGCAAGAGCCTACTAGATGAAATAATAGTCCAAGTGAAAAGGAGTAATGTAATCACATCATTCCTATTTTCTAATGGCCATTTCCTTGCATAGTCATATTGAAAGAAAGTCAGAGAACTGTAAGGTGCAGTTGTTTCTGGCATCTTGCAGGCTGCTTTCAGGACCCACATAAGTTTTCTGTCCAGTTGATATTTTGGTAGTATGCAAAGTTGTGATCTGTCAGAGATTGCTGAAGATCTGGAAGCATTCTTCTGCCTTTAGGCTCAGGTAAAAAAAGGTGTGAACCCCCACCACAGAACGAAGAAAAAAGTAAGTGTGGGTCACAAAAGTCCCATCATTTTCTAAAACTGGGCTGTAAATACATGGTAATGAAATGTATGGTAAATGCAACTTTTCTGTGACTAAACCCATCAGATGCATGCAAAACCAGGTCATGATTATCAGGGAAATGTGTGTAGTAAGGGAATAATGGCTATACAGTTTCCTAACTCTACTTCATTGCATTCACTTATTCCACTGAAATCAGTAATCATGTCAGAATAGAGCTAGTAAAATATTATGGGAAATAAGGGCCTTTCATAGAAGCCTCTCTGCCTGTCTGTCCTTTTATATGGCACCTCCTAACACAGTGTCTGAGTGCAGAGTTCTTCATCCTCCATCTGATTTAAAACTTAAAGTGGATGTGGTGGAGACCTCTGGTCCAGAGTAAACTGCCCGAGATGAACCAGCTGCTCACATTGGCCTCACAGAAACAATGATGGGGTTCTGTGCTTACAGCTGACTTATTTTGTTGGAACTCAAAATGTCCCTCAGACATTTTTAGAGGTTCCAGGCCCAGGTCAGAAGCATTTGAGACCCTGGCAGGCAGCTGGAAACAGCTGTGATTTTGAGTTTGAGCCATGGAATGATTTACCAACCTTGCAGGAAGAACAAGAAATCACAAAAGTTTAGATGTTATAGTAGTAGTTACAAAGTAGAGGGAAGAATTTTTAGTGTTGTACAGGGGGGTTTTAACACCTGTACAGGGGGGTTTTTACTTTGTACATGGGGGTCAGAGGTTTTAAGATGGAGGGATTCTTGGCTGGTCCTGTCCTTCCTCTTTCTCCTTCCTTACTCCATGTTTTTGGTGATGTTGGCACTCACAGATTGGTTTAGAGTAGAAAGGCACCATTTAATATAGGTAGTAGGTATTGGGGGAAAAACTGTAAACATTTATCACGTAATGTACCATATAAAAGATAGCAGCAGCCCAGGCATGGGAGGAGAGAAGAAGTCAGGGGACAGAGAGGATGTCAGGGTGTGTGTGTGCCTCTGCCTGAGCTGCTGAGCAAACCACAGCAGCCAGAGAAGAAAATCTTTTAGATAACTTGCAATAAACAACCATGAGACCGAACAACAGAGACTGCTGAGTTTTCTTTGGAAGGACGGGTTGGAGGAGAGACTTTTCCACCACACGGAGCCACCCCTGAACCAGGCCTGGGTTCCATAATATTTAAACACTCTGCCTTGGCCCCTGGCTTCCTTGGACAGTGGTGGGGTGGCTGCTGTGTCTCAGCCCTGGTGCAGGAGAGGTCAGCCTGGGAAGAGCAGAGCCAGGGCGGCGCTTCCCGGCGCTCCAGAGCCGCCGCGGCTCCTCGGAGCCTCCCGCACCTCATCCCACAGCACTGATCCTCACAGCCAGGCTTTGGGTTTGATCTCCCCTCCTCCTGGAGGCTGGGGGTTGCTCACATGCTGTGAACACTGCTGGTGCATCTTGAGGGAGGAGGATTGAGGGCTTCTCAGGAGGCAACTTTTCATCAGCGAGTGCAGACTTAGATGAATTAGAAAGATTTCTCTGGGCTACAGCAATTCTGCTGAAATTGCTGAGAAGCAGCATTATCAGGCAAGGATGCTTTTCTTCCATAAAGATAGAATGTTTCAGCTGACTTTTGTTTGATTATATTGTGAATTCTAATGTACTATTGTGCACACCTTGAAGCCATTAAGGCAAAATGAAGAATTCAAACAGGATCAAGATTAAATGTTTTCTACTGTCCCAAACAAAGCATAATTCAATTAAAGTACCTTTGATGATCTCTACACTGCAGCAATTTCATTTTTGAGATATAGTTCATCATTTAGATTAATACTCCTGCTTGAAAGAAAAGCAAATTTTGGCATGCTGATGTTTCCTGCAGACCCAGCAGCCCATGAGAGGGATTGGAAAATTCCGACTGAGAGCATCTCTCTTTCTTTTCCCTAAGTCCTCTCTTTGATGCAGGACCATGGCAGGAGGGAGAGGAGGGAGAAAGATAAGAATTGGGTTTATCATCTATAAATAGAGATGGCCCTTCACACTCACTTTCTTGAGAAGTCCTGGAGCACCAGGGGAAAGAACAAAATAAATCTGAGAGAGGCTGGGAAAGTTCTGTACATCTCAGGAATGTTCAGAAGCACAGTTAACTCTGGCAGTCCAAGTTCTTTAAAAAAACACCATCAATTAGTTTCTCAAGTTTAATTCTGCCCTGCATCTACCAGCTGGAAAGTTTGTTGAGCAATAAGCATAAGTGGGTTGTAGAATATAAATCATTGCCCCTGACATCCAGGGAAAACATCTCTTGTTTTATACTGACGTGGTTGTGGTTTCTGCAGATTGCTTGTGCAGAATCTTGGGCAGAATCAGCAGCTTGGTTCAGGCCTAGATTTTTAGATTTTGGGAGTTACAACTTGAAAGAAATTGTTAGGAATTTTAGCAAAAGAAAGCTACCATCACACTTTGACCTAAAATGGAATTAAACTGTCCACTGCTAAGGGACCTAGTAGCAAACCTGTCAAAATTACTCAAAAATATTTTTTAAAGAGTTGTTTTATATGGACTTTGCTACATTGGATTTCTTTCTGCTTGTTTTTTTTTTCTTTTTTGCTTTTTTTCCCCATAGGTGAAGAGGATGTGGAAAATAGACATGGAAATCTGTGAATCCTATGCTGGCATCTGTATGAAGGATCATTTTGTGGGAGGTAGGCAAATAGGCCATTGATGGTGTTGATTAAAGACAGTCTTATGGTTAAAAAAATAGGTAACAAAAAGCCTGTCCTCTAAACCAACAAGCAAGTGACACCCAAGCCAGGAAGCTCAAAATCAACAAAATAAACCTTATTCCAAAAGCTGGGTTGGGTTTTTAATTGACTGATTTCCTACCAATATGAGGACACTCTCAGGCTATTTGGCCCAATGAGAGGTCCTTGAAAGCCCAAACTGAACAAGCATGTGAAATATTTAAGGCCACATTTTTATATTTATTAAAAACAGCCTAAATAATTAAACTGGTTGATTCACTAGTGGCTTTCAGGCTCATGCCCAGAGTGAAAGGTCATGACCTGACATACCAGGGCCCCACTTGGTACTGATGATTGACAGGAAAAGGAAATAAGTTGATATCTTTCACGTGGGAATCACAGCTTGTAGCAACTCTGAGCAAGTGGGCTATTTGGACTTTGTGGGAAAACTTAATTGTGTTATTATTCAAAATCTTCGTTCCCAAAGTTGGTTCAATGGTGATTTATTTACTTATGTGATAAAACAGCTGTGTACTGTAATAAAATACAGGTCACTTGCTGTTGTTTAATGCACAAAAGTGAAGATATGTTTGGTTTCTTTTACTTTGAACTTACAATCAAGCTAGGCAGCAGGGATGACTTTGAACTATTAGGAATTTTCTGTTAGCGTATTGGAAATATTCAGTGTTCTCATCATAGTATATATTTTTCAGTGCTTGGTTATGGAGAAGGAGGAAGGCACCATACACTGAAATATGAGTGCCTCTCCACCATATGCTTTCATTATTTCTTTATAATGATAAAAAGGGGCTGCATTCAGTGCCAGACAATGTCATGGCCCCAGAGATTTCAGTGGCCTGCAGAAAAAAGGAGAAAAAAGCATTTATTATATGAATGAGGATTTGAAATGGCTTTTTAAAAAAAGGCCTAAGATCCACTTTCACCCTAAATTCTGAAATCACTTGAAAGATGTCTAGATACGGGTTTGAAGAATAGCAACTTTCCACCAGGCTCTGTTTTATATGCAGGATCGCTGCCATCTTCACCAGGCTTTGTTAGGAGGTCAGATAATTGTAGCAAGCAATAGGTCACAGCCTAACTTCACATACTGTGTGATTTGTTCTAGCAGTGAACCCTGTCCTCTTGATCCAGAGGACGTTTTCTGTGCCCCAGTCATTTACAACTCAGCCAAGTGATGCACTTTTGTTTAGCACTCCGAGCTGAGGAGTTCAGTGGGTTTTGTGTCAGCTGCCCTGTCTTTGTGCCTTTCTGCCCCTTCCCCAAAGGGTGGGCGTGACGTGAGCTGGGCCAGGCTGCAGGTCCCAGCCATGTTCCAGGGATTTTGTGTCCTTTGGGAGCAGGGCCGGGCACTGCCAGCTCCTGCAGAGCTGGGTCTGGGCTCTTGCATGATAACAGTCCATTCAAACTCCCATAAAGTCAAAAGTAGTCTTACCCCAGAGCAGGCCACGGTGGGGAAGGTTTGCACAGCTCAGTGTGACACCACATTTTGGGTGATAAAGCAGACATTTCCCTCCACTTCTTTTCCGAGCCTTTCCTCCCATATTATTCTCGATTCAAAGCAAAGCAGCTCTGCTTGGGAACCTTTGGGAACTCTGCCACTTGTACCACAATCACCAGGAGAATTTTAAGCCTTAAAATAATCTGATTTTAACACCAGTAAATAAGCCCAGTTACACAGTAAATCAAGATAAAAGTTGCTCCACAGAGTAAGAGCTGGTGGCATTTCTCTTTCATTGTTTTATGTTATTCCTTCGTATTTAACATCTGGCAATAGTGCATGATATTTTACCAACAGACATCAGATCCTGCCACAGGAGTGCAGGTCTGTGATAAGTAAATCATAATCACGGGCTGAGAAAGGAAATCAAGAAAAACGGCTCCAGGGGCAAAAAACATGCTCAAAATTGAAAACCTTTCTGCAGCAATACCAGCCTACTTCCTCTGAACATTTGAGCAGGAGGGGGAGATACTCAGCTCGCTCAGCACTTTATGTACATCCTTGTCCTGAAAGGAGAAGGCTATTCTTAACCCAAATCCAGCCAATTTCTAGAATTTATTCACTTACAAAATGGAGATACAAACTGGAGAGCATCTATCACCAGAGCTGTCGATGAAGTAGCAGCTGCAGATATGTGGAAACTTGTCCCCTGTGTTAGAGGCCACAGTGTGACCTTGCATGGCCCATGAAAGTGTTTAAAAATCATGATGACACTGGGTTCTGACTGACTTTGTCTAGATTCAGCCTGAACATCAAGAGGAAAAAGGCTCTGAGTCCCGTGCCAATTCTCTGATCTTTCCATTCCTCTCCTCCTCCAGGCTCTGTGTCTCAGCAGCTCCCTGAAGTGAGCACCATGACATGAATCTGGAAGTGAAGAAGCCCTCAACTCTTCAGAAAAGAGCAGTTATTCTTAGCTTTCTTTCGCTGATGTTTTTCTTTCTTTCCCTCCCCTTTCTTTTTTTTAAAGAAAACAGAAATCCTGCCAAAATTTGGGTTCTTTGATGTGCTTTGGAAAGAAAAACAATGCTATCTATCCAAGTCCTCTGAAAGGAACAAAAATATGTCATTTTCAGGCATGAACTACTTGAGAAGAACAATCAATACATTTCACAATTAAAGATGGTCTAAAGTTTTTTGATATTTTTCTGGAAATTGTTTATTAATAAAATTTCTGAGACGTGTGCCTGTTTCAGTTAAACTTTCTTTGGGAAGATTTCCTGAATTACAAGGTAGGTGAAAGGTTGGAGGGGGAAGAAAGAGGAAGACACTGATATTTGCTGTAGAATATTCAATTATCTAATAATATCCTAGGGGGACTATGCAAGACCCCATCCAAGCTTTTCTTCTGTCCGTTTGGATTGAGTATGTGAACCTGTCTCGTCCATTTTATTCATCCTATTTTGGGATGAGCAAAACAGGTCACAAAAGCAGGATCTGTTCTGCACTGTTTGTTTGTTGATTCAGCTCTCAGTGGACACGTTGCTTTATAAAACTCTTCAGCTGTAAATGAGACACTGGCTTCATTGTCTCATACTTAGGAAATTTGCTTTAGATAGAAGCATCCCAGGTTGGAATCTTTGGCCAGTAAATGTAGGGAAGCTTTTGAAGCTGCAGTCTTGGAAGTCATAACCTAATAACTAAACTCCTGTTTGCCCTCTAGTTTTAAGTTTTCTCCTCCTTCACCCCAGCAAATCTTGAAAGAGCTGATTTATGCAATGAGAATTTTTGACATTTTTATTAAGTCCAGGCATTTAATAAAGACATTCTTTCTTCAATGTGATTAAACTGAAGTAAAGAAGCACTTGTGTTATTTCTCTCTTCTATTGAAGTTTTTAACAGATTTTTTTTTTTTTCCCTTCCTGTGGCAGGTCTTGTTACATCATTTCCATGATGTGCTCTCACTTTCTACTGCAGTGGCTGTATGGGAAATGCATCTACTTTTACAACTGAGCTTTAAAGAGGTTTCTATCTATATCTACTATTTCTGGTCCAGTATTTAAAAAAAAAAAAAAAAAAGAAAAAAAAGTAAAAAGAGTAGATGTTAGACATAATCTGCAAAGGACAGGTTGCTCGAGATTGGTATAAAGGTGTTTGTTCTCTCATTGCCTACTCTGCACTTGCTCCATGGATTGGGCTGGTTCACTTGGAAAGATCAGGGAAACCTAGAATGGTTTGGAAGTGAGCTTAAATATAATTTCTTGTTCCAAGCCCCCTGCCATGGGCAGGGAAGATCACTCCCTACCTCAGACTACTTAACTCTGAGAGATATAACAAAGCCTGGCTTTCAGAGGAAACATATTGTGTATTTCTTGAAGGTTTCTTAGTTTGACTTTGGATATTCAAAACTTTGTGACTTCTACAATATCTAATCACCCTGTGAAAGTCCAGGCCAGGATTTCAGACTTTGAGGATAGCAAGCAAATGCCTTAAATTAGAGGTTTCAATTAGAGAATATTAAATTCTCTTCTGTAACAAGAGATGTTTAGGAGAAATGGGAATAGCCAGGTGGGAGTAATTGGTTTTGGAAAAGTCGAATGTGGGAGCTCTGCCCAGCACTTTCTTTTATTACAGCTGTTTTCCTTCCACAGCTCAGGAAAACTCATATTCATGCACGGCCTTACACTTCACTGGGATTCCCTGACTTGGAGATTGTCAGCATTGGCTTATTATACAAGCTCTTTGTTTTATCCTGTACAATACATCTCGCCATACACAATTTGGCCTCTTAACCTGCCGTGAAATATTTCAAGGGCTTGTTGCTGGAAGGCGTCGTCTCTCCTGGCTGTGATTTGTGCATTTTCCTGACAGCTTATAACGATTCGTGGTGGCTTGCAGTACAATGAACTCATGCTGCAGAACAGCACACTGAAAAAGATCTTTCAAATTATTGTTCCGGTGCAAAAGGTGCCCAATCACCTTCCACCTGCGGATTAGTCGGTTGCTATAGGAACACACTGTAGCTTTTCAGTGCCGGGCTGCTGTAGTGCCCAGATTACTGACTCTGACAAACACAATAGGGGGAAAGAATCACGGGTTATTAGTGCTGCTGATGATGTGATGTTATAAACCTGGGGTGGCACGGAGCGGATGAATAGAGCAGGAGCCTTGAAACGCAAAGGACGGGAGGAGGAGAGGGAGCAGAGTGGAGTGGAGCTGAAGCCATCACTACGGAAATGTTCTCTTTGATCTCGTTTTCCCCTCTGAGTAGATATTTTCATAATGTAATGCCAAATGCAAGCAATGCTGTACCCGATGGCAGAGCCACTGGTTATGTCTTTATCTTAGCAGGGGGCTGCTCCTCCTCTCTTCCTTTTTCTTCCAGTGAGTGCTGAAATCTGAATCTTTTCATTCCTGCAGGATTAGCTCTGACCAAGGTCAGAGCAGCCAGTCACCAATATTCTTCATGGGTGAGTCAGGCCTCCTGCATCCCTGGGAAATATCACCTGAAACATCCACCTCCACACAGGACTTTAATGGGGAATTTTGCAGCGTCAGAAACACGGAGGGAGCAGCTGAGATCAGGCCTCTGTCTACTTTGGTGGCTATAACTGAGACTCAGGAGTTTATGCTGCTGAGCACCCTCCTGCAGAGTGAGCTGCCTGTGTGCTTCATAGGGGAGAAATAACTGCTTGCAGCTCTGATTTGTAGATGGCCTAAAATTCCCAGAAAGAGTTTTGCTACCACTTGTGCTTGGGCAGGGTGAAGCGAAAGGAATAAAATATATACTTGTCCATTGCTTGTGTGCCTTGAGCAAAACAAGCTGTGCTTAGTCACAAGTTCACCAGATGGTACTCTGGGGGTTATTGCTGTTATATTACATTACTGCAATATATTAGACAAGGCACAGTGATTCATTCCCTTTCCTCAGTGCTTTTGGAGGCTGTTTTCCTCCCGATGGAAGCACAGCTGACCCTGCTGCTCATGACCCTTGGGACCCCTGTGGGCTCCTGTTGGTGCATGGGCAGGAAGCACCAAACATCCCAGCACCAGTGGCAGCACCAGACCTTGCAAAAGGCCTGGCTTGCACTCTGAGAAGTGTCTTCACTTTCTGATTTGAGCCAGCCGATTTGGGACCTCTTTCATTTTTCAGCCCTAGCTGCCTCCTCCCTCCTTCCCTGCTCCAGGTCTGCTTGTTTTGCCTTTTCACTGGGGCCTCCCCGACCTTGCAATTGGACCCGTGTGACCCTCTAAGCAGGGAGATGGCCTTGCTCAACCCCTTGTTTGCAAAATGGACTGAAATACAGAGTTTGCACTGTATTTAGAGAGCCCAAGGACTATCAAAACACCACAGAGAGGTATTGTTTTCCTCCACTTCTGTTACTCTGTAGGCTGAAACCCTCAGTCCGGTGAATTATGTGCTGGCTGACACCTAAGAACCCATCCTGGGCTGGTGCCACATGTGCAGGCAGGGCATAGGTGCTGCTGTTGGTCAGCTGGACAGCCCCTGGGACCATCTGCCACCCCTCTTTGGCCTCCCTGTCTCCACTATTATGTTCACTGACCAGCTGCTTTTCCTCATTGCCCTTGACAAAGCCTCCCAAGCCACAGTCTCCCCTTGCTATGAGAGGAGACAAAGAAATGCCACAGCCACTCGCTCTCCCAATGGCCTTGAGCTCCTGATCTCGGGTTTCCTTGTGCTCCCCAGCACTGCCCTGGTGGTGCCAGGACACTGCTCTCCCCTAGTCACAAGCTCAGGATCAAAATTTATTTCAGTTTTGCCTGAGGCATCTGAAAGAGTGATGGAAAAGGTTGGTCAGAGCGTGCTTGGATCAGAATTTCACCGCAGGTGTTACTGTAATTTCAGGTAACTTGAAAACTGCAAATTGGGCCCTCTGTCCCTTAGATTACGCTTTTCATTTCATGATCCTCTGGAGGAAAATGAATTTCCTAGTCTGAGCTCCTGTCTGCAAATTTAGAGGGACAGAACACACGCTGCCTCTTCAGTTTTAAGTGGCTTTAAACGGGGACATGGAATGGAAATTGAGAGAGACACCGAACCAGGAAAGTATGGAAACCTCACTCCAATAAAATGATGGGAAAACCTTCCATCACCATCGTCACCTCAGCAGAGCTCAGGAGTGCTGTGGGAACAGCAGTGCAACACTCCTGTTATGCCTTGTTGTTTTTATCAACAGTGTTCTCCTCCACTTTGACGTCAGCCTCAAGATTGGTGGCTGTGATGCGCTGCACCTTTCATATTTTCTTTCCAGTCATAATATTGCTTCAGTCGTAACCTCAGCACTTTGAGGAATAATTGTCCCTGACAAGGGGGTGAATCACTGGCAGAGAGTTGATAAGCATTACATATAGATGACAGAAGTCAGGACATATCGGATTACTGCTGTGAATATAATAAAAGAGAGCCTAAACACTTTGGCAGCTCAAAGACAAGCCATTTCATAACTCTCTAGTGGGGCTATTATCTTCCATTTACTGCCACTGATAACCAGGTTGCAACTGTCTCCCTAGGATCTAGTTACAATTCACTTAACACTTAGAGGACCAGACATATTGGAGGACACTCAGATGAGGATAATTTCTTAAAGAATATTTATTTTTAAATTTTTATCTTCCTTGCTTCCCCTCTTTATAGTGCGATAAGAACCTAAATCAGGAAGCTTTGAACTTCTTTGGGGAAAGGAGAGTTCATGGTCATCTTCCCTTTAATCTTTCACTCCTGAGTTTCTTTTGAAGCCAGTTGTTCATATCCAGCTGAATAAGTGACAAGCAGGTTCCCACCTCTGCTACTCTTGTCATACATGCACACAGACCTGAAAGCTTGTTCTGATACTGACTCTATTAGGTTTACACGTGGGTGTTATGTTTTTATTTTTGCAGCCAGGAAGGGGCACCTGAGCTTACAAATCAGGGGGTGTTGGTGTGTATCAGTAACAGATAATTCACAGCAGTGCCAATTACAATGCACACTGGTGGAGGCTGGATACAGACATTTATATGCACTGTGTGAGGTTTTGTTTCCAAGCCTCACTGCTTAAGAGGAGTTTAACATTTCATGCTCCTAGATCTCAAAGTTCTCTCTTTTAGGCTAAAGAGAAAAAGAATTATTTGGTGTGGCAGAAATCTGGTAAATGAGCAGTGACTCTCCTTACTAGCCAGCACATCACTGAGAAATATTTATTAATCTTAGGGATTAAAGCCTTCTCTGTGAAGGGAAACTCTG